AGAAGAAAAGAAAAGAAGAGAGAGAGAGAGAGAGAGAAAAGGAAAAAAATCAAACCGCGCAAACTTTTATGATTATCCGCGTTATATGCTCGCGGATAACAGCGTTTCGATCCCTCGTTCGGCATTGAAGGAGGGGAAAGATTTAAAAATCCCTTCTGAACAATCGCGTGAGATAATTTTTTTGAAAGGAAGAAAAAAGGGGGGAACGAAGAAAAGGGATTAAACACGTAACGCGAAGTGAAATATATAAATATACGGGGGGAGGGAGAGGAAAAGAGACACAGAAGATCGAGATCGTTCAACGAAATGCTAATGAGCGAAAAGAATTGTGCGAGGAAAGAAGGAACAAACGAGGAATTGGGCGAGCATACGATCAGAGACAGTGACAGAGCACCGTTGGACGAGCTGCTGGTGAACTCGACGGTCCCCTCGACGACCACTGTTCCCGTAAAAGTGTGCGATGACTCCGCGGACGAGGGCGGAAGGGACAACAACGAAGGCCAGAAACGAGGAATCCTGACCAACTTTCAGAGAAGGACATTTAGCAGGATCAGTTTCAAAGGAGAATCCGGTCCTCTGCTGAGCAGGTGAATTTTTCTTTTTTTTTTCCTTTTTTCTTTTTCTTTCTTTTTTTTTTTTTCTTTTATCCCACGAGTTTTCTTTTCACCCCGCGAATGCGCGACGATTTCTCTGTAATAATGGTAATAATAATAGCAACAATATTAATTTTCCTATTAAAATTAACTTACAATTTGCATTGAATATACACAATTGCTCGAAAGATATCGAAAATATTCCTTATCTAGTTTTAAATGGAGGAAAACTTAAATATGTGAAGTAGTAGAGCGATATTTAGAATAGATTGCACAACAAAAGAAGTAGTCGCACTCGTTATTAAGATTAGTCGACACTCGACTATTTTAGTTGACCTCAGTCTTTTCTTCGGCTAAATAATAAATATATGTATATATACACGTATAAATATACATATATATGAATATGTAAAATATTAAAAGTAAAAACATTCAATATTATCGAAACTATACATTGAAACATGAAAGCGTTTGGTTTCAAAAGGAAATACTATTCCTTTTTACTTCGTTCCCTGTAAGTACTCTGTTATTTTATTCAACACACGCGAAAGCTATAAACACGAGCTTTATTACCATAAGTTCGTACGAAGAAACAAGCGAGAAATGGTTAATAAATTCACTTCATAACGATCCTATTGTTTCCACGTTGCAACTTCAGAATGTTCCGAGAAGCGACAAAATATTCGAAAAAGTTAAACACGCTTAAAAAAAAAAAAGAAGAAGAAGAAGAAGAAAACTTTGCTCAAATATCGAATATCGAATATAACCCAAAAAAAGAGAAAAAAGAAAAAATTAGTTTCCAATAATTCTTCGATCATTGAACACGATTATCAACGAGCGAATAATTTATACTCGAACGTTGGTTCGTTTTAATATTCCATGCACGTTTATGCACGCGTGTATGGACGATAACGTGAAAATAATTGACGCGAAGGCAGCGGGAGGTTCCATCTGGAATCGATCTAATTCCATTGGAGAGGAGAGATAATTGCGCGAAACGATTTTCACAGGCGCTGTCAAAAATACGCCCGGTCGGTGAAAACTGGATCACAATACGTGACCCCGCGAAAATAGCGCCCCGTTCCCATTTCCTCTGCCACGATCGGCAGAAATCCTGCCTTTCGATACGAGAATAGAAGCGCCTAATTGCGGAAGACGCCTCGACGCCGGCGCTCGATCACTGTCTACGCGCGCACCATAAAAATCTCCACGATCGGATTCATCGTCGAAACGCTTCTTCCTTCTCCCATATCCTACATTATTTTTCTTTCTTTCCTTCTTTCTTTCCTTCCATCATTTCTCTTCGAATACAACTTTGTTCCTCTCTACTACCTACTCGATAGTACAACATTTCGTTTTCGATTTATTTCCCTCGCGATGTAGAAACGAATTCTTCGTGTCTTCGACTCGTTGACCTCGGGATGATTCGTAAAATTCTTATCGAATTAATTATTTTCGTTCGTCGAAGGAATTTTTTTAATACGGCATTGTAAAATTTCGTTATTGCTTCGTTATCGTCGCTTTGAGAAAAGAGACTGACGCGAGCGTTGCACAGAATTCTCATTCCCCCCGTGTCGGGGAAACAGTTCTTCTCTTTCGGCGCAATCTCGTCAACAATTGAAAACGTCCGCCCGTCGACAATTTATAGACGTACGAATTGGAAATAGAAGAAATTAGAAGCGCGACGTGTATAAAAAGGCGCGGATTCGGGTCGCAGAGCGAGAGTCGAGAAGCTCGGTTGAGAAAGCTCGGTCGGAAATGCGCGCGACAAAGGCGGCGGTGAATCGGCGGTGCAACGACTCGTTTTCGAGCGGGTGTCGCGTGTCATCGAGGCTCCATCTCTGGCGAATGGAACGAATCCGATCCGTGAACGGTGCCAAACTTGCGTGTGCAAAGACAAAAGGGAAATCGTGTACGGCAAGGGTCAAAATTGGATCGCCTCAGTGTCGGTCGAGCCACGGTTCCTCGACGAGCCCGTGTCGTCCATTCACACCGACGCTCGCCCCTTCCTTCCTCCGCGCCGCCTTCCATTTTTTTCAATGATTTCACCGTGGTGACGCGACCGCTCTTATTAATAGTCGGCAAAGTGCGTAAATCAGTGACCTCGTGAAAGTTGCTTGCTCCAGGAAATCCAGATTCTCTCTCCCTCTCTCTCTCTCTCTCCCTTCCTCTCTCGAAAAAAGAAGAAGGAAATAGAAAGAAGGAAGGAAGTTTTGTTCTTTGATCGAGATTCGCGATCGAGAGGATCGAAATGTATGATCCGGTGTGAGGTGAAAGATATAAAGAGAGAGAGAGAGAGAGAGAGAGGGAGGAGAGTTCGAAGGGAATCGATGGTGAAGGTGATCCGCGAGGATCTCGGGACAAAGAAATAGGTGTGAAACGGATGTGGTGCAAAAGATTGATCTGGATTTTCCAGTGGCTATGGACGGGCTGCGATATTTGGCTCTGACGATGAGCTGTTTATTCGTCGGGCCTTGACAGCCCCAACCTCTCGCCCCCTTAAACAAACCTTTAAACTGAAGACGGGTGAAATTCTCTGAAGACGGTGTGCGCGCACGACGTTACCCCCTCGAAAGGAAGGAAGGAAGGAAGGAATCCGAGCTTATTTCTTTTCCTCTCCTCCTCCATTTCGTTCCACCTAATATAATACCTAATTGATCTATCGTTACTTCGTCCGGCTTTAAATAGATACATCGATATAAAGTGGACGGCGACGGCTAAATTCGCGAAGCATTTATTTTTACCGATCACCGACCTTTGATCGTCGATTCGAAAGAAAGGGAAAGAGAGAGAAGAGGGATGAGAGGCCGGGTCGGATTAGTCGATGATTAATCGCCGACTCGTGCGACGGATCATGTGAACGATACGCGTGCCCTTTGCTGCCTTTCGGACGAAAGCGAGGGGGAGGGAGGGGGGGGGGGAGGCAGGCAGGCAGGCAGGAATTGGTGCGCGGTGAGTGAGAAAGAGGAAATGGATACGTCACCGTCCAAGACGCTTTCCCCGAGTTCCTCGGGATCAGGGAAGATCCACTTGGGCGAGGGAATGGCGTTATCCGGCCTGCGGAGGGCGCTTTCCCAAGTGTCGATGCTGGTCGTTAAAGCGACCACGTCGGGGGAAACAGCGTGGAGAGAAGAATTGCAAAAGTATGTCGATTTTCATTCCTTTTTTTTATTCTTTTCGATGCGCTTCGTCTCTGCGAGAAATAACGGATTCGAGGAAAGAGAGAAAGAGAGAAAAAAAATGGGAACTCTTCGTTCGTGGCCACGAAAGAGGGGAGGAACGAGTAAGGGTTTGATTTTTAGATTTCTTCCAAAGACGTTGGCCGTCTATAAAGCGAACGGAGATCGGCGAATCCAGTTTACAATGGCTGATTGTTATCCGCCTCGAAACGAAGAGATGACCGAATCAAGGACGACTACCAATGGTCGAGTTAAAAGCTCGTAACGTACCATCTCAGCGGTAACGTTCTTTAAACAACAATCTCTCTCTCTCTCTCTCTCTCTCTCTCTGTCAACGGTTTATATCATTACGGTTTATTGCGGCTAGTTATCATAATCGCAGCCACTTTCTCGTCCGCTCTAAATCGCTCCGTTTTACCAACCGCGCGTAGGTCGACCTTTCGAAACCTTGTGCAAACCCCCTCCCTGTTTCCCGATCGATTAATAATTTTAAAAACTCGAAAGGAAAACTGGGAGGAAATTGGTTGCGATCGAAATTACGTTCGTTTTCTTTTTAAGAATCCAAGTTTCTTAAACTGGTTCCGAGAGAGCAGGGGGAAAAGAGGAAAGATAGCAATTCTGGGGGAGGAGATTTTTAACGATCGTTGGGATGATTGGCGAGCTTTTCAAATTCAAAGGTTTTCCTCGTGGAATTCGACGCGAAGGCGAGCGCGTGAAAATCTCTCGCGTTTTCCAGTCGGAACAGGTGTGGAGGTCTTGATCTATTTTCATCTCGGGTCAATATGTCAGGGTTGAAACTGAAGCGAACAACACGAATTTAGAACAACGTCGGACCAAGCCAAATCGAACAGCGGTCTAGGTCCGTTGAAAATCGCTACCAAAAACCCTCTCTCTTTCGTCACAAATTAAAACGAATCTCTTCGAAATCCATTCGAATCTTTCCACGACAAATCTTCACCGTCATCCTATCATCCCTCCTCGTCGATTCGATCCACCTTCCCACGTATCCCCTTTAATATTCGTCGTAGAATGGAAACATCCCGCGTGGTCCCCTCGGAGGGGAGGGTTGGAGCCGCGACAAAGTCGATCAGGGACGAGGGTAAAAGGAGGCAAGTTCAAAGAGAGATCGGCGAGGACATTGCCAACGACTGCTTATTTTCCTTCATATCGATGGCCGCAACGCGTGCCGTTTCTAAATCTCGCCGAGTGTCTAGGCGAATTTTCCGCGTGCTTATTTCTGGATTTCGAGACGAGCGCGCGTCTGGCCGCCGCGCTGGAATTCAACGCCAGCCGGAAACTTTGCACCCACGGATTCCTCCCAACTCGGTTAATTAAAACGTTTGGATCGACGCTGCTTCGATTCTCGGGGCTATGTAGACTATGTATATTCGGCGATTAGCGAGGTTATTCGAGATTTGGTTGTGTTCGTCGTTTCAAGGGGAGGAGGCTATGCGTATTATTATCGCACGGAGTTTGAGAAAAATCGTCCAATTCTTCGTCTTATTTTATCAAAATTTAAAGGCGTAAAGATCGATGTATCGGATTCGTCGAAATGGTAGCGTTAATAACGCGGAAATATCGGTCTAATTATAAAGTATCGTTCTACTTGTTTTCGAGGAGATACGATGTGATCGATCGCCTCCTAAATCCGTGACAAGGAACGTTTGTGCACAATCTCTGTTATTACGTTATTATCGATCATCCGTTTTATCCGATGCTTACACGCCAAAAATCTTCTCTCTACTTCGATTCGAAAATTTACTCGACACCTCGAATCTCTTGCCAACGCGTGATTTTCATCGATTTTATTATACGCTCTCGTCGATCGGGATCGATTTATTTATCATCGAAGAGACGAATATTATCTTATCTCGGAACCGAATGAATCATGATCGTGATCGCATTTCGATGAACAAAAGTCACGCGAATAACGAGAGACCTGTGTCGTCTCAAACACGACATTTCATTCGGGGGGATAGAATTGGAATCGGTGTATTTTTAGCGAAAGACTCGGAGTTAACTTTAGAAGGGTCGACCGATTAGTTCGTCTCGTTCGCGTGTAAGTGTGCATGCGCGCAGATTCATTTTCGACGATAAATACCTACGATACCCTGCGATTTCTACCATATTTTCAACTCTTTGCTCTCGATCGACAAAAATAATAAAACGAAGGAGGAGGGAACAGGTTTTTTCTTCGAGGTCGTGATCGAAACGATCGAAAGTGCGAGGTAAGGCGAACGAACGTATCGATAAAGCGAGCTGCCCGGATAAAACCAAATATTTGGACGTGTCAGGTTTCGCGATACTTATTTTCGCGTAGCGGCGCGAAAGGCCATAGGGCAGGGTTCAGAGATCCACACAGAATTTCCTCGCGACACCCGGTGCAACACCATTATTGAACTCGATGAAACGATATTCCCGATTACTCTTTTTCGCGGCAAAATGGAATCGAGAGAGAGAGAGAGAGAGAGAGAGAATTCGATAGAGAGCGAATAGGTAGGAAGATATAGAAAACTATGCGATGCCGAAAATATAACGGAGGACAAACGAAACGCAATATTCCTCCGTGTTGCCTTCATCTTTGAAAAATAACTAAAAATACGAGTAGAATTATATATATATATATATATATATATATATATATATATATATATATATA